AAAAAAAAATAAAAAATAAAAAAAAAATTGTTACCGGCTAAGCAGCGTCGGTAATTATATTTAAATTACGCGGAGTCACTGCGTGCCCTCTTCCGCGCATACTGGCTACCCACGCAGGATCACGTGGCCTGCCAAAATAGGACCCCGGCCACGCCCCCGCTCTCGCCGCCAGCTGTATGACATATATCAATGAGAGTGTCTGGAAAAATAGTACCCTTACTACTAGAGAATTGAATAAATTGCATGGGCATCTTAAGCTCAAAAAACACTTAAATAAATTTTTGAAAAGAGGCGTTCCCAAATTAACAATTTATCTGTTTCCGAAAAAAGCAACGTCTGTGCAAAAAAAAAAATTGTTTGAACACCAAGCAATTGCTTATACAATAAACTTATATTGTATATTTTTTACGACTTTTCATAAAATAACAATAAACAGCTAATTACAAAATTTTTCGATTTGAAGATATTGATACTAATATAAAAATTGAATGAAATTTTTACGAATTTTTAATTTTTTCCATATACATCCAGCGTCAATACTTCCAAAGATTTGAATTTTAAATATTTGAAAAAAAATGTACAACTATATATATTGTATTTACCTGTAAACTTCGCACTAAACCTAAAGTAATAATGGCAATGAATTTAAATTTTCTTCGTCCTCAGAGAAATTCTTTTTTTTATGTACGGACCAAAAAATTTCTTTGAAACCAATAGTTGTAGGTTAACTATCTTTGATGATTAAAGATACATTTTTTCAATTAATAATGATTTAAAAGCCTATTGAATTCTTACGACCCGTTTTTACAGCGTTAAGCAATCCTTTTGCTCTTTCTCATCGTGACTAAATGAGGCCAAAACAATAAAGCTAACTTTTTTTTATTAAGTAATAAGTTGTGTCACTGTATATACCCTATCTACTAGAATCTATTAACCGATATATCACATCTTATAGAAATAGTCATTGCAGAAGAAATTTCGTTTACAAAATTTTGTTTGCGCATTTAAACAATGATTTCTAACAATTCTCTCAAGTTACTTGGTGATGTGTAGTAAAAATTAAAACTCTTATCTCTATTCGTTAAAAAACGATTAAAATTGAAAATTTATACTTTACTACTTATGACAACAGAAAACAAAAGATGTAACAACATCTGAATCCAGATATCGTAAGCTTTTTAGTGTCTCCGTAAGCGTTTAAACATTTTACCTTAGCCTTTTAATTGTCAGACTGTTGGATGGGCATTAACTACGCTTAGCATATACTTCCGTGACATGTCATTTACTGTAGCAGTAATCAGATCTTAGGCACCGTGTAAAAACAGTCACTGCTATGAAGGCACACTGATACCAGCCAGGCAAAGAAAGGGCAGACATATTTATGAAAAAAAATCATATTAAGCAAGCAATTTTAAGCTCGCCTTATGTTTATGAGGGCTTGTTTACTATACTTTCAACCAGAAACTTAATTAAAAAGTATATGACCCTAGACCCATAGAACGGAACTCAGAAAATCCACCTCTTTAGTCTTTGGTTGCAAGTTGTCTAGAACTACCGTGTACATTAAATACCTTAATTACAAAAGGTTAGAATCGTCCTTATCTTTGATACTAAGGATAATATTCTTATTTTTAAAAATTGTATAAGTTCCGCTACATAAGAAGTATCGTTATCGTTTGATTTCTATGCATTTCCTGTCATCGACGAATTCTTTAGATTATTTAATATCGTAGGACTACGTTTCTCTTTTTGCTTCTCCATGGCTTAGAAAACAATAAGCTCTATACAACAGATCTGTACTAAAGACAACTGTTATTGTAATACGTTAAAAAGTTTATTGTCATTTTTATAGTTACACAGACTCAAGACTTAGAAATGATATATTATTGTTTTTATCAGCTTATCAGTACCGTGCGTATGTTACTGTTCTCTCATCAGAATCGTAACAGCAGACACTACAACAAATTAATACCCATACAGGATACTAATGAGGTGTGACATCTATGGCCTTTTTATGCACACGCTAATAACTGGCTACTGGCACTGAAAAAAATTTCAAGGAGCAGCTACTCCTAACCGTGGAACATCCACTCAATACGCATGCTGGTAATCGCTCATCACTCAGAGTGGCCGCTCCTCGGCTATCGAGGAGCTAACACTCGACAGCGAGTGTCTAATTCCTTACAAAGAGGAGCTGCCATCTAATGACTGATGGGTGACAGATTCTCGCTGCTTTGAGTCGTCGTCCCTCGCGTACTGTTCCGCAGCATATAGTTCACATGAAAATCAAGGTTAGGAAGTCCAAGTGATAAGTGTAATTGTATTTGTTTACTATGGATAATTTTTTTGATAGGTATCCTGAATTAATTTTTTTGCGTGACAGCATTATTCGTAAGTATATAAATAAGTAAAGTGTTAATGTAAAAATATCTGCTAAAATAAATGCTAAAATATCTGTGGAATCCTTTTCTGCATACACTCGAATTCGTGTTTTGGTTCTTATGATTTGTGAAGAGCATGGTATTGCGGATGATGTATTTTATGCTATTAATGATGAAAAATGGAGTGAAATATTAAAAGATTACCCAGAAAAGGCGCAGTTGATGTTTAAGAGAAAGCTCATGTTTGAAAAAGCAAGTATGCTTGAAGATGTTTGATGGAAAAGTATAGAAGTAAATTCTATAACAGAGACAGTGGAGCATCACCTTGTATATCCTCTTTCTTCAACCTCAGTTGTTGCTGAAGATAAGTCTGTAACTTATTTTCCATCAGCACATAATCTATGATTAGCTCATCATCAAAAAATACTGAATTCTCCACAGAAAGTGATATTTTGTCTCACACCCCAAAAAAAGCTAGGTTTGAGCCTACCCAAGGGGCCTTTTTGCTTTTTTTAACAGCTTTAAAAAATGTACATACAATAAATTGTGAAAAAAATTGAAGTCTTATTTTACTGATAATATGGCTTATTTTTAACTTCCAACATAGTTTTCACAATTTATCATTTTTTTTTTTTTTTTTATGCTGTTGTTTCTTGTGAATGTATGTTTGAATGAATTTTTAGACACAATACAATTTGTACAAAATGAGCTGTACACATTCTTAAACAGCAGACCAGAGGGCATACTTGTTCTTGGGAAGTATGAACACTCCCAATTTCAGATTTATTAAAACTAAAAAGTCTAGTCATTAACCACTACATGTTTAAGAACCCCATTAATTATATGTAAATCATCCTACTTCACCCTACCTACATTTTGGATCATAAATAGATTTTTTATGTTATACATGACTCGTGAATGCTATTATATTGTTGTAAAAAAAATTTCTTTTGTTTATTTACAACTTTTTTTTTAAGTATAAGTACAGAGACATTTCACTGGATTGCTGATAAAATTATAGAACTTATTTCTACCGTTGACAAAGAGCTCCTTTATTACCCATATGCAACAGCAAGTACTGTAGATAACCAAAAGAGCAACGAAGATGGGTGTTTATATTGGTGTTATAAGGATTTGCGTAAGCAGTACTACGATGCTGGCTTATTAAAGCGTGATAAGTCGAGTGTACAACCGACTAAAAGTAATGAACCTGAACGTAAGAATCATTATATATTGCTCTGCATGGTTCCTTGTTCAATTAAATGTTTCATTCAATTTTTTTTTCTATTAAAACCAAAAATAG